CATACATAATGTTTAATTTAATCCACAATCCTAACAGCTACACGCGAATCCTTTCACAAACAGAACGATGAAACCAATGACAAAATTGAATTCTTGCATGCGTATGCAGATGATGAAATTTCTGTGAACCGACATTTTGTTATTCGAGAATGAACACATGTTCTGATCGTTAGAATATGGACATACTTTCTCCATATTCTAATCTAAAGATGGAGGCAGTGGGTATATATCATCCGAAACGTTGGTAACAGCCTACAAAACTACACGAGGTCACATCTAAGAAGACTACAATCTGAACTCTCTTGCAAGAAGTTCTTGGATCGATTCTTCATTCCAAAACGTACTCAATGTTTTGATATTGTTATTACCAGGTATATAGATATTCAAAACATCCACGAACACGCTATTGGTTGGATATTATCTGAGTCCAAACTACTTTCTATCTCCCGAGGTGGAAGGTCAGACGGAATAACGAGACGTAGACTGTTCAAGGACAGTTTTAATTGGAAGACTTTAGAACCGTAATCTAATCACTAGGGAAGTTCTCTATTTTCTCTATTAATCAATGAACAGATCATGACATAAAAGTGCATTCAAGACAGTCACTGGTGAGTCACAATGATTGACAGCAACAAATTACCACGACTTGTTGACACTTAACATCGTTACGAGAAAAAAATATGACTGCATTTAATTTAAATTTATTCGGTTATTTTACATATGTAAACTGCGCACATACAGTTATGCAGACACGTGGAGAGGAGACGGCATAATGTCTTTAAATCCTGCATTCAGTGCGCACGCCGTATTAATCTCAGCGTAACTGTAAACCACTCCATCGTACCGCTATCGCTCTAGCACGCCACGTTGGTTTCAGCGAACCTTCATGCACGTCGTGGATGAACGTTCTTTTTCTCTTAACATTCCTTGGACCCACAGCCCTATTCGAGCCCTGGCTGAGGGCTTCTGACCTTATTCAGATAGTCGGTAAAACTCCTTGGATGGGGGATCAGACCACAGTAAGATATCTACCAACAAAGGACAAGTAACTTCTACGTAGCAGAGTATCTGAGTCGCTAACAGTACTCCCAGCTAGTCGAAAACTTCTGTGCCTCTAATGAAACCCGAAGCTGTGTTCAGAGGAGCTCACCATTTGGTCTTTATCCTGAACCATATTACACCCGCAATCTAGTGTTTTTCTCTTAACGTGAGAGACCGAGTTTTATACCCACACATAACGACAAGAAAAATCATAGCTTTGTCTATTTTAATCTTTACGTTTTTAGAAAGCAATTACCAAACATCGTAGTTGTGTGGTTAACACTCCTTCCACATATTCAGGTGGTTCTAGGTTCAAATCTTGGCTCGGAGACTGGCTATCCTGGCTGAAATTTTTCGTGATTTCCCTCTGTTTATTATTATTTAGTGTTCTGTCTGCCGACAGGTCCATATGAACAGGATCCTTCCATCCTTTTCTCGGACTTGGACCTGTTCATATACGTTCTTGGCAGATGATCCAGAAGTGGTTTGCCATTGCCTTCTTCTGTGTGTGAATGGAGTAATTGTTGGGATGCCACGGAGAAACGCCGGGAATCGAACCCGGGACCCCAGGATTACAAGGCCAGCGTTGTAATCGCTAGACCACCTCATCTTATTATTCTTATTGTTCTGTCTGACGACAGGTCCATATGAACAGGATCCTTCCATCTTTTTCTCGGACTGGGACCTGTTCATATACGTTCTTGGCAGATGATCCAGAAGTGGTTTGCCATTGCCTTCTTCTGTGTGTGAATGGAGTAATTGTTGGGATGCCACGGAGGAAAACTCCGTGTTGCCTAGATCACGGCCTTGCCCAACACAAGTTATAAATTCGGGCACCGCCGGGAATCGAACCCGAGAGACCCCAGGATTACAAGGCCAGCGTTCTAACCGCTAGACCACCGTGGCTGTTTCCCTCTGTATCCCCTGGAAATTCCGGCTTCAAGTAAAGTAGGTGTTAAATCTTTCCCAAATAAAATTAACAAGAAGTCCTGACACGTATATGCATGAGATAAAGCAGCAGCGACGTCAGTTTTACGAAAATCTGACACTCGGTTGTTTGGAAATATAAACAATGTTAGACTTAACGTGAACATGAGACTGTACAAGCCAAAGAAAAGGATGACCAATAACAAAATTTGCACGGACGTATGGTCAGCAAGTTTCGTGTCATGATCACATCCTCAGCCTTGTTTTGTAGATGAAATTACATAAATTGAGCAATTGAAATGTCACAGTCAACTGTACAAAGAAACGAACATATTCATCGTGGCAGAATTTATAAACAAATACTCTTCAGAAACTTGCTTATAAATAGTCTATACTTCCGTGTAGGGTTTGTCGGTTTTTTAAAAATCGGGTTTAAAAACAGGTTTTTAAAATTTAAAAAATCGGTTTTAGATACTAGAATTAATATTTAAAAATTAATTAATTAATTCATTAAAAACGTTAACATTTTGACTTGAAATCGTCTCGGTTATAAGCATATTGTAGTAAAACTTATCTTCATGAGTCAGGTGAATATTTGACATGCAAATCCACAAAAATCAATTCATATATTTCTTGAGGAACTTGAAGAAATAATATCAAATACGAAGACACTGAAGGCCGAATTTTCAGTATTTGAGGCAACCAATAATAGAACAAATAATTTAGATTTATTATTTGATGCCCTAAAAACGATAAAACCAAGTTCAGTAGCCAATGAGAGAGTATTTTCTATTTCAGGCAATTTTGTATCTAGAATAAGAACAAGATTAAGTAATCGTTCAGTGGACATTTTATGTTTTTTTGAAATCATATTTCCTGAAGAAAAATACTAAATGAAATAAAAATTTATATTTTGTACAGATTTTAGTTGTTTTAGTTTTTTATTTGGTTTTGTATGGAGTATATTTTATTTTGTTATATTTTTGTAGTTCCATAAATATTAAATAAACTGATTTTTTTTAAAAGCCGGGAATCGAACCCGGGACCCCAGGATTACAAGGCCAGCGTTGTAATCGCTAGACCACCTCATCTTATTATTCTTATTGTTCTGTCTGACGACAGGTCCATATGAACAGGATCCTTCCATCTTTTTCTCGGACTGGGACCTGTTCATATACGTTCTTGGCAGATGATCCAGAAGTGGTTTGCCATTGCCTTCTTCTGTGTGTGAATGGAGTAATTGTTGGGATGCCACGGAGGAAAACTCCGTGTTGCCTAGATCACGGCCTTGCCCAACACAAGTTATAAATTCGGGCACCGCCGGGAATCGAACCCGAGAGACCCCAGGATTACAAGGCCAGCGTTCTAACCGCTAGACCACCGTGGCTGTTTCCCTCTGTATCCCCTGGAAATTCCGGCTTCAAGTAAAGTAGGTGTTAAATCTTTCCCAAATAAAATTAACAAGAAGTCCTGACACGTATATGCATGAGATAAAGCAGCAGCGACGTCAGTTTTACGAAAATCTGACACTCGGTTGTTTGGAAATATAAACAATGTTAGACTTAACGTGAACATGAGACTGTACAAGCCAAAGAAAAGGATGACCAATAACAAAATTTGCACGGACGTATGGTCAGCAAGTTTCGTGTCATGATCACATCCTCAGCCTTGTTTTGTAGATGAAATTACATAAATTGAGCAATTGAAATGTCACAGTCAACTGTACAAAGAAACGAACATATTCATCGTGGCAGAATTTATAAACAAATAATCTTCAGAAACTTGCTTATAAATAGTCTATACTTCCGTGTAGGGTTTGTCGGTTTTTTAAAAATCGGGTTTAAAAACAGGTTTTTAAAATTTAAAAAATCGGTTTTAGATACTAGAATTAATATTTAAAAATTAATTAATTAATTCATTAAAAACGTTAACATTTTGACTTGAAATCGTCTCGGTTATAAGCATATTGTAGTAAAACTTATCTTCATGAGTCAGGTGAATATTTGACATGCAAATCCACAAAAATCAATTCATATATTTCTTGAGGAACTTGAAGAAATAATATCAAATACGAAGACACTGAAGGCCGAATTTTCAGTATTTGAGGCAACCAATAATAGAACAAATAATTTAGATTTATTATTTGATGCCCTAAAAACGATAAAACCAAGTTCAGTAGCCAATGAGAGAGTATTTTCTATTTCAGGCAATTTTGTATCTAGAATAAGAACAAGATTAAGTAATAGTTCAGTGGACTTTTTTTTTGAAATCATATTTCCTGAAGAAAAATACTAAATGAAATAAAAATTTATATTTTGTACAGATTTTAGTTGTTTTAGTTTTTTATTTGGTTTTGTATGGAGTATATTTTATTTTGTTATATTTTTGTAGTTCCATAAATATTAAATAAACTGATTTTTTTTAAAATGATTATAAATATTTTTTACTGTTTTAATTATATTTTGTTTTTCATAAAATTCGAAAACCGGTTTAACCGGGTTTTTTTAAATACTGGAATTCGAAAACCGGTTTTTTCAAAAGTCGATTTCTGTATAAACCCTACTGCCGTGTCCATATTCATAAGGAATGTTTGTGTGGTGACATTCAAACCAAAATCTTGCCTTGGCGGTATTGATTAAGCAAACATCAAAATAACAATAAAGACAAACAAATATACGTAAAAGGCGAAACACTAGGCGGAGAGTTAAGTAAGTAGGCCTAGACACAGAAGAATAGAGAGAGAGAGAGAGAGAGAGAGAGAGAGAGAGAGAGAGAGGAAACGACGACGAAGAAAATTGCCGGTGACTGGAACGAAATCTGATATCATAAAGCCGATTACGTCAGCCATTTTTGTATCATTCATTATAACAGCCGGAGGCAAGATTGTATTCTCGTTACAGATATTATAATTGTTTAATATAGAACGTGTTGGAAAAATTATAAATCAACTACAACATTATTTTAATACAAGCATAATACTCACGATAGAATATTCCTGGTTAGGTCGTAAGATACTGTAAACATTTCAAAAATACATTTAACCTTCCACTGAACTTTTATTAACTATAAAAAGGTTTTGTAACTTAACCTGCTAATAAAAACTCACTCTTCTTGTAAACAGAAAATGATAAATTACAATCGCAACCCTCTTATTCTCATACTAATATACATTACTTTAAACATACTAATCTCAAATAAATGCATGAAGAACATAACACTATAAAACAGAACCAGTCGAATACCGAAATTCCTCGATTTTAAGACGCTATCGATTGTAAGACGCTATCGATTTTAACACACACCCTTTAAATACAAATAGGGTCACTAGAAGAAAGACTCTTATATCGATTCTTAGACGCCACCAAATGTAAAACGCACCTTTTTAGTGTGAAACAAGTGCGTTTTAAAATCGAGAAAACACGGCAACAAACGAGAAACACAGGTTTTTATAATTGTGTGAATGTTACTGTGAACAGGTTTCAATACAAAATGCGCAATTTCATTTGAGAGAAACTGCTTTCTGCCCTCCTTCCTCGTCATTTGTTACAGGCAAATTTAAGTCATAGCTTCCTCTAATTTGAGCAATTTTCTAAATCACATTCAGACAGGAGTTAGCGGGATCATTCCATATTGAAACCTCCACGATAAAGTTGCTTAACTAATGTCTATTGAAACTAATCATATAAATTCGTAATGTTTCAAAACGTCGTAAATCCCATTTGCAATAGCTTCAGAGGGCGGTTAATATACCGGATGCGCTGTCAGAATCACTTCGTGGCCAAGTGATGTTAAATTGGCAGTGTTAAGATCTAAATATTCACTAGATTGAGGTGATACCCGAATTTAACACTCCAAGTATCCCTTGCAAGATTGCATTTCTTATTTTGGGAATTTCTGTGTTACGAAATTCTTTGTCCTTTGTCAGACAACAATTTAACTCTACAGAAACATAGGCAGATATTGTTCTTCACAAATTATTTTCCCATCTGAAATGAGAGAAAGCTAGTGTGACGATAGATTTCGAGACTAAAATTGTTTTATAAACTAGATAATGCATCAATGTTAAAATATGTGTTTTATAAAACATCTTCGCATTCTTTCGGTATATAGCCAAAAATGTTTGCGAATCTCAAAGATTCGCCAACGCATCAGACTTGTTCTCTGGAAGATCCCGGTTCGAGTGCCGGCCGAGGTACTGGCTACCGTGAGGTGTTCCGTGGTTTTTGCCCACACATGCCCCTTCCTCTCCAACCCCTTTCCATTCACTGTATATATAACCATCTTATCATCTCATTCAATGCCATTCAAGTTTTGATATTGACAGAACGTCATATGTCTCAAGGGGTTTGAGAAACACAGTTTTGAAAACGCTGTTTTGCGCTGTCTTGTTCAGTGCACAGGAGCTGCCATGGTCTTGTACTGGAAGCCGTTTCGTCCATTCCGTCCATAGTGCTCCTGTACAAAGGCCAGAACGTTCTTGAAGGGCAGCTGCAGGTGATAGTAAGCACAGTACGGCAGTGGGTCCCAGAACACGAACAGTGCCTCTCGTTTGTCGAGCACGGTTCCTATGAGGCGTCCCACAGCCTCCACACTCGGGTGTTTCAAAGTGTTCATGACAGCCTCGTGCATCCAGTATCTTCCCGAGTCAGCCACAAGAGGACCCGAGTTCTGACGACTGAAATGCCTACACGGCTTCCACACTATACGAGGGTGCACACTCGTGTAGCAGATGGAGGGCATGGACACCCCCACACGACAACTCACGGGCACCAACGTTTTATCAGCATCTGAAACCACAAACCGGAAGCTCACGTGCCCTGTCGCCTGCCGGAGAACTCTAATTTTGCTGAAGAAGTTCTTCAGCCAGTAGGAAATCTCTTGGTTCTCTACAGGCACCAATCCGCCGCTATCTTTATTCACGTGACACGTGACATTTGCCACGACCTGAGATTCCTTCACTGTGGTGCAAGTAAGGAAATGCTGACCTGGCACGTCCTGAATTATAACCCACGGCCTGTGCTCACTTATGTCATGAGTGATCTTGAATTCTTGACGGTGAGCTGGCATTACAATTTTTAACTTGTCCCTGCATCCCCAAGGACCGACGCTCACCATCACGTGCCTTCCAGTTCGGAGCAGGCCGCTATTATAAAACTTCAAAACGTCGTCTTTCGATGAAACAGAATAGTGAGGTGGGGTTGGAATACCAACCCCCTGGCAAAGCTGCAGAACTTCCAAAATGTCATCCAATACCCAGATCTCTTTTACCCCTGGACAGAAGCATGAACATCCCAACAGCTCCAAGTGAGGTTTGGCAAGGGCGTCGTAGTAAGCAGTGGACGTAGCACTCACTGGGATGAAATATGACGCGTGTTCGCGTTCTACTATGTCACATATTGCTTTCACGTACTTTTGAGGATGATCTGCTGTAGGTCGAGGCACCGAGTAGAACTTCTCAACTGCTGTTGAAAATCTTGCAAGCCCAAACAAGCCTTCGATTTCAAAGACCACAACTCGAGCCCCTGCTGAGTAGAAATTTCGTGCAAGATGCAGTGCTTGGATGGTGCTACCACCACTTATAAGAACTGTGCGTTTCTTTCGCCCACGTTCAGATGCTGGGGTGTGTAGAATAGTCAGCAGCCATTTGATAAGCGTAAGGGGAAGCTGTATAGATTTCCAGAAGATCCAAAGCCAGGCGGAGATCCATAGCGTGGGTCCTAACAGAATGAACTGGCTCCAAATAAGGTAAGCTACAGTGGAGATGAGACGTCGGATGAACCTCAGAATTAACGCCGGGTACCATCCTATGACCCTAGTCAGACGAGGCTTTTCCTGATGCTGAGAAGCAAGTGGAGATGTCGGTCTACTGAAGGTGGGAGTACTTGCAATGTGATTCAGACGCTGTCGGACCGACGATATAGAAACGTGGCCAGATGAAAGGGTATGATGGAGACCTCTCTTTCGGATAGTTGGAGAATCAGGTACTGGCGAACACGAGCCTGGTGAGGTTGATATTGGTGAGTACGGCGACGGGGGAGAGGTGCTGTGCAGAGAGCTGCTACCACTGCCGCCGTCAATGTCTCTGCTGTATCCATCACCAGATGTCACTTCTCCTCCGCGCTGTGGCGATAATTTCTCGCTACTACACACCGGCATCGCATCACTCATTCACAAACGCCTCACTCTGTATACTAGATATTGTCCACTACAAATCAGAATGACAACTGAGGACCTGTTCGGTGCTGCCTGCCATCTTATGTGACCTACGGCTGTGACGCCCGCGTCTTATCTTATCCGTTTCAACGCAACTTTAGCCACGGGCTTTATACAGTATTGCGTTATTTGCACGAAGTGCATGAAACGATGCATAAAGGATAAATCGTGTCAGTCTCTCCATCCGTGTGGAGAAGCTCAGAAATTAGTAAATGGATTTCGATTAAATTTGTTCGTGAGGGAGAACACAAAGTCGTTTAATGAAATTAATTTTTTCTTGTAGGGACCTATTATGCACGAAACTCAAATGAAACCTCAGTCTAATAAATTTTTAAGAAAGAAACAGGAAGAATTATTGCAAAACATAAAATATATATTTCACTATCGTCCAAAAATTTCATCTGAAACATCTGTAGATGAAGTCGCCTATTAAGAAAACACAAAAAAAATATTTTACTCACGTATGCAACGTCATATTTGTGCTCCTGATCACCTTTGATATCAACAGGTATATCTTTAACAAAAAACAAGGCAATCTCCTTTGATATTTTACCTCATTGCCCTCAATATTAATATATTTCATAAGTAAATCTATTCTTGTAAAGCTTGAATTCGGTTAATTACTCGTCACAAAACGTGTTTCAAATCAGACGAGAAAACTGCTCATGAAATTGTAATTTATATCCTCCAAGAATGTTTTGTAAGGTTTTATTTTTAAATAATCAATAGAGTTATACCATGTAAAGAAAAGTTTAGTCCTGTGTTAGAACGACACCAATCAACATTAAATTCACGTGTCAACTTCTAGTGTAGATTAGAAACGTCAAATTAATTTAAAAAAAAAACATTTCGGAGATAGAATATACGGTTGAATAGATGTAACCTCCCCATTTATCTTACATTACATAAACACCGTGCAAATAACGGATATAAATCAACATTAAATATTCAACTTGGAATACACTGGAACTTCGTAAGAGAAGATCTATCATTAAATAACACGAACATGGCGTGTGCATTGCAGTCAAACTAAAAATAACCAAATTTACAGGATTGTGTAGTTGCTTTTCTCGGAAATATTTACAAAAAAGAAAAGAAAAAAAGATCAGTGGGCACAAAAGTGTTGTTGTCTAATCTTGTTCCAATTGAGCAATGTATTTTCATGGGCTGTGATTATCGGTTAATGCTCCTACCACAGTCCGACAAGGCCATCACTTGAAATCGATTCATATGAATCTCGATCCTGCTTGTTTAACATAGATCCATTGAGAATACCGCTTAATGACGCATTGTCAGTTACTGAGGTACTGTCATATCAAAAGGCAGGCTGACATTGAATAATAAATTAAGAATGATATTGGACGAAGAGGTCGTGGCCTATTTTAAGATCCAAATCTAACATTTTCCTGACAAATGCTTGTCGCGTATAATCGTATATTTCATTCCAGAGAAAGTCACTCCTTATTCTAAAGAGGATAAACGTAACTCAGAATGATATCATGTGGTCTAGGGGTTCGAAATCTGTCCATGTGTTTCGTGCGGCACACGATTTGTAATATTTATCACCCGGCATGATGATAAAATAGTAACCGCATAATATTCGTGTAAGTTTTTGGTTAATTATTATTATTATTATTTATTTAGTGTTCTGCCTGACGACAGGTCCATATGAACAGGATCCTTCGATCCTTTTCTCGGACTGGGACCTGTTCATATACGTTCTTGGCAAATGATCCAGAAGTGGTTTGCCATTGCCTTCTTCTGTGTGTGAATGGAGTAATTGTTGGGATGCCACTGCGAAACCGGGGAAGCCCCCGGAGAAAAACTCCGGGTTGCCTAGACCACGGCCTTGCCCAACACAAGTTATAAATACAAATCAAAAATCAACAAATCCATTAAAAAATATAATTAATAGTTAAACCTGCCTGTTTAGCATTTTTAATAAATTGTCCTCGGCAACCTGACAATAGATAAGAAAGGGTGAGTGCGGCCCGAAGTCTCAAAAGGTTCAGAGCCCCAAATGTAGTCGAAAGATCAAAGTTTAGAATGTTATTATAAAAAACAAAAATTCAACTCATACGTATTTAGGCTACCCAAAAAAATATTGGAAGGAACAATATATTGGAGAAGGACAGTGGGAAGACCTAAAGGTAGATGGCTGGATGCAGTGACGACTGACTCCAGAAATCTCCTTGGAACAGCAGCTTGGAGAAGGATAGCGTTGGATAGAGAGGATTGGAGGAAGAAGATAGAGGAGGCTAGGGCTCGATTTTGGGCTGTTACGTCATAGTAGTATTTAGGCAGTAAAGCTGCTGCTATTTAAGAACGTCTGGACAGAGCCTGTCTTTGACTGATTCTAGCTGCAGGAATTTATGCCCAAGAAATAAGGATGTCTACCATATCAGCGAAGACGAGTCGCCCTGATCATGGGGGCAACAAGGACTTCCGAAACGCTGGTAAACTCCTGGCAGACCCCGGTTAATCCGCCCCGGGATAATTACTGTCGTACGCCCACTCATTCAGGTAGCGTCACCTGTAGGATGACACTGAATGAGTCAACACCGTTCAAGCATTGAAGAAAAGCGTGATATAGGCCTAACAGCACAGAATATTTTTAGCAGATTTGTTTTGAAACATGTAAATAAAATCCGCTGGATTCCTGGGGAGACAAAATCGAGTAGTATGCCAAGGGGTCAAATACATTATTTATATTAACTGAGCGATGTTATCGGGTCGAGCCCTGAAGGACAGCGTAAGAAGCAACAACCTTTCAATGTTATGTATAAGTCATCTTATTTACAACAGATTACATCAACAACTCACTTTATGGTTAATACTGCCAATGCTTAATCCATTATTAAAATAACTTAACATATAGAAATGGAGTTGTCAGATTGTTGATCTAAAATATGGTAAACACTGTTTGAAAGACAGACGGCAAAGACTCTGGTAGAGGTATGCCAACGTTTCGGAGGTTTCTGCCGCCGTCATCATCAGGGCGATGGATGATATGATGATAGTGGCAGCAAAACT